TTTCACTTTTCTCCTTTTACCAATCAAAACTGACCCGTCTCTAATCTACCATTCCATGGCTAAAAGACACAACCAACCTTTGTTGAGTTAGAATTTCCAGCTGTGGTCTTTATTCCTTGTTAAGTTGTTATGCTCTCGTTGACTAGACCCACAAAGAATCATCTAGCTAAATGGAGTCTACACGTCTAGGGCATACACATTGGAAACCACTGCCATCTTCAATAAATCTGTTTATAACTTACGCCTGCTTTCTATTATTGGTACTTTAATTTAATTGACATGTTGACCAAATTGAAGAAAGCAGACACATCATTTTCAGATTTGCATGAATATATAATAAATAGTTTCTCATGTTCAAAAAAATAAATAAATAGTTTCTCAATTTCTTTGATAAACATTTTTCAGTTTATTTTTGTCTACTCATCTTTTTTTGGTACTAGACGATTTCTCAATTATCTCAATGGAAAGTAGTATAGCGTTATCCAAATCCGATGTCGTTTTGCAATTAATGGAATAAAAAAATCTTAAGGGAATTAGTTTTGGTGTGTTCCATTGTTGTTATGTCAAATTTAGGCCTTAAACCCTCCCCTTTTCAGTTCCATTCGTCTCATAATATTAAGGGAAAAAAAAATTTTCATACAACGCTAGCAGCATCTTTGTTTATTAGTGTAGCAATATATAAGCATGTGTGATATCCTTATTTGTAATTAAAAAAAATAAAACATTACAATTTATTAATATTTTTAATTACAAGTGAGGACCACGTATGTTGACTTCAATACATTAGTGTACAAGGATACTAATGATGCAGTATTTTGTTGCGTGAAAGAATTTCTCAAATAATAAATATATTTTTTTTATTCTTTGTTTTTGATTAAGGATTGAGAGACAAGTTATCTTCTTACTTACATTATATTAAAAAAAGATTAAAAAATAAAAATATTATAACTATAATATTACATAATATTATAAATTTATAATATGATACATTATTATATAATTAATATTTTTTATTAAAGTTAAATCCAACTATAGTCTCTCTACTTTCCTTTTTCATTCATTGTCCTCCTTGTACTTTAAAATAGTTCGAAGGCCTCCCTCTACTCTCTCAAAACATACTACTGTCCTCCTTTTACTTTCAATTTTCTTACTAGTTGCCTCCTTCACCTAAAGCCGTTACTAACACCGTTACTAACATCAACACCATTACTAAAAAGACAAATTATAACACAAACCGAGGCAACTTTGATTTTCTCCAATTTAGCTAGAACACATTTTACACGATTGCTTAAAGGCCCCCACATTTAATCTGCAAAGGCCTCATCCATTCATTAATTTATTATTATTATTTATAAATTTCAATTATAGACCCACAAATTTCATCTCACTCACCATATCATCAATCTAAATTTACTCCAAATTTATGAAAATAATACATACATAATTTATTTCTATTAATGTAAAAATTATGTCTTTAAAATTGTCTACCAAAGAATTATTTAAAAGTGTACAAAAATTAATTATACTTAATTATAATTAAGATTATCTACCAAAGGATCAAATACTACACAATTTATTTTTTACCACTGTAAAAGTTATGCATTTAAAATTATCTACCAAAAGATTAATTTGAAGGTGTATAAAAATTGATTTTGAAATACTCCAATTACAAAAAATAATAATAATAATAAAATTAAAAAAAAATAATTCTTAAAATAGACTATTATATATTGATCAATGGATTTATTTTTTAATTGCTTTAATCAAATTTATTTTTTTATAGATAACACAATAAGAGAAATCATAAAAAATCCATTCATTAATATGTTAGAATAATTGTATAAAGTCAAAGCAGTGGAATTGGGCATTCAGTTCGGATTATCCAAATTGAACTGAATTTTTGGTTATCCAAAATAATTTTAGATAAGACTTTTATACCTAATTTGAACCAAAATTTTAATTCAGTTATAATTTTGGTTATCCAAAAGTATTCAAAAAATTTGGTTAATTAACTAAAATAACTGAAATATATCATTATTCTTCACTTTTTGTCATTAAAAGCTTTTTATTTTTTAATTTTGATTATTTCTAGTCTTTTTGTTCATATTCCTATATATAAATTTCACTAAAAAAAGATTTTTGTCCAAAAATTTTTCACATAGCACAAAAACTAAAATAAAAAAATAAATTTATACTAAAAATTTTTAGATAATTTTGGATAATTTGATGTCTCATATTGATTTATTGTTGCATGTTTCTTTCTACTAACATTGGATCTAAATATTCAGATATGTCTTAAACAAAATAATTACACCCAAGTCAACCAATGATGTCAAACTAATAAATGCTGAGAAAATTTTGGATAACAACAACATAGTTGGCTAGTGCGGGGTACCATTTGGCAAGCTACCAAGAGGGGTTATCACCATGCATGTTGTGGTGTAGCCAATTTTAGCAAAAGCAAATAGAGGAATTCTTATACTAATTGCTCTAGAATGCTTTCTTTAATTTTGGTGATTGACTAATACTCTAGAGTTTTATTATGCTAAATTTTAAATTAGGTTATTCTATTATCTTAGCAAAAAAGAAAATGGATGAATCCCTTAGGAAAAACTTGTGCTTGTGTTTGATACTGCAACTGTATTTGATCATTTGGTAGATAATTTTAATTATAATTAAGATTAATTATAATTAATTTTTGTACACCTTCAAATTAATTCTTTGGTAGGCAATCTTAAAAGTATAACTTTCACATTAGTAGAAATAAATTCTATATATATTACTTTCATAAGTTTGGGGGCAAATCTAGGTTGGTGACATGGTGAGAGACATGGAACTTGTGGGGTTTACAATTGAAATTCATCAAAAAATAATAATAAATTATTGAATGGGTGAGGCCTTTGTAGATTAAACGTAGGGGCCTTTAAGCAATTGTGTAAAATGGGATTTGGGTAAATTGGAGAAAATCAAAGTTGCCTCGGTTTGTATTATAATTTGTGTTTTTAGTAACAGTGTTAATAAGTGCGTTAGGTGAGGAAGGTAACTAGTATGAAAATTGAAAATAGAGGGTGGACAGTAGTATGTTTTGGGAGAGTAGAGGGAGGTCTTTGAATGATTTCAAAGTATAGGGAGGACAATGAACGAAAAAGGAAAGTGGAGAGACTATAGTTGGCTTTAACCCTTTTTATTATGATTAACTTGGTAATATTATATATTTACTTATTTAATATCAACATATTTCATTTGATATTATGTAGGATTATAAATTTACAATTCTACATAACATTGTAATTATAATATTGTTAAAAAAATAAAGAGAGATTTTTTTTATAATTGGATACATGATTATAATTAATAAATAACAATAAAATTGCTTACATATAAAGAAAAATATCTCTTTTAAAATTAAAAAAAAAAAATTAAATCCACCCAACACTACTCTAAGACTTGCATTGAGTAAATCTTAAGTCCACCCCGCTGGCTTAAAATCCAAAATGACTCAAACCAATAAATTTAAAACTCAAGAATCCATCCGAACCAGGTTTATTATTTGCCAAGTCTAGTTAGGAGCAACCAACGCAAGAATCGAAACCATAATTGACTTGATTGGCTGGTTGTGGTCCTAGGTTGGTCAAATAAGAGACTACCCACATGGATGGCTGGACCTAACAACGGTTCGAACTGACCTGAATGCCATGTATACTTAAATGCGTAGTCTACACTTCACAAATCCCAACTTTTAATTTTTAAGAGACCCTATGAAAATGTAAATACAATGTATACAATATTGAACAATCTCTTTCCCTCAGTACAAAAAAAAAAAAAAAAAAAAAAAACAATATCCCCAACCCAACATATCTCTTATCAGATCACCTACACCGCATCCCTAACGAAAGCAGATAATTTATAGAAAAAGGGACAGAAAGGATCATATGTAGATGCATAGAGAAGCAAAAAAAAAGAAAAAAAAAAACAAAAAAACAAAACCCCAACCCAAATCAAAAATGAAAAAAAAAGAACTGCAAAAAAAAAAAAAAAAAGAAAAAAGATAAAATTAAGGGTCAAATAAAAAAAATAATTAAAAAAAAATAAAAATAAATAAATAATTAATAAAAAAAATAAAAATTTTTTAACTTTTAACCCCTTTTTAAATAATAATTTTTATTTTTATAAAAAAATTATCTTAAATTTTAATTATTTATAATAAATAATTAAATAATTATAATTTTATATAAATAATACACATATTCTTCATATAAATAAATCATAACTTAAAATAAAATATTTCAAAATGGCCAAGGGGTATGATGTCAAATCAGTAAAGAAACGTGACTCCAAAATACCAAGAGGCCGATGAATTATGGCCCGTTTGCTTTCACCACTTTTCAGTTAAAGGCTTCTGCAAAAGACAAACAACATATCGTCATCCTTCCATCAAAGATTATTAAACCCTCACTTTCTCTCTTTCTCTTTCTTCTTCCTCACTCTTCTTCTGCATTCACTTCATCTTCACCTCTTTGCAAACTCCATGTACACCTAAAATCACACTGACCCATTTCTCCTCGTCTCTTCCTCTACATTGGATTCTTTCTTATTTTCCAAATCTTACTGTATTAATGGACAACTCATTATAATGGATGCAGAGAGACCTAACCGTACTACTAGTAGTGGAAGCAGCACCAGCGCCACCAGTGAACTATTCATCTGCTTCACCTCGCGTCTTTCCTCATCTTCCATGAAAATCCCTTCGAAATCAATACTCAGTCCTGGCCGAAACAGAGAACCCTCACAAATCTCGCTTTCTTCCTCGCTTAGTAGACGGTTAAGAAGCAATGGCAGCATGAAAGGCGGTCAAGCTTCTCCAATGTTCCCTGCAATCGGAAAGAAACGAGGATGTGCCATAGAGAATCCGGAACCCTCTTCGCCCAAGGTCACATGTATAGGCCAGGTTCGAGTGAAGACTAAGAAACAGGGGAAGAAGATTAGAGCCAGATCTAAAAGGAGAGGTGAAGTGAGCTTTAGGAAATTGGAACATGGCGGCGCCATGGCTGCCACTCCAAGCACCAGTAGTCTTGACATAGGTAGCCATCAAGATTACAATATGGGTCATTTTTTACACAGTAGCAGTCACCACCACCAGCAAAGTCAGCAACAGGAATGCAGAAAATGGGTGCATTTTCCGGTGACAATATGTGAAGCGCTGAGGTCGTTCGGAGCCGATTTCAACTGTTTCTTACCTTGCCGGTCTTCGTGTATGGCGAGCCAGAGGGAGAAAGAGAAGACGGTGGGATCTGGTGGGAACGGGAACGGAAACGGAACTGGAAGCTCCTGCGGGGCAGTGTTTGCAAGATGGCTTGTTGCAGTACAGGAAGGAGAGGGCAAGCAGAGGGACATAGAGTTGGTGGTCGGAGAAGAAGAGAAGAGAGGGAGTACAGAGTTGAGAAGCAGCCAGAGGAGACATATATTTGAGGACATAGAAATCAGTGAGTGCAAGGATGAGAAAATGGGCGAGGAAGAAGGAAGAGTAAGCATTTGTATTCCACCCAAGAACGCCCTGTTGCTGATGAGGTGCAGATCTGATCCTGTAAAAATGGCTGCACTCGCAAACCGGTTCTGGGAGTCGCCCGCACCAAAGGATGAAGTGGAAGCAGACGATGAGGTAGATGAGGAAGCAGAGAAAGTGGAAGAAGAGCAACCAACCATTGATGAACACAAAATGGAGCATGAAATGAGTGAGTTATGCCGGAAGTCGCTTTCTTATGAAGCTGCAGAAGAGACAGAAATCCCGGAAGCAGAAGCAGAACCGGAAGCAGAGTTAGCTCTGGATGGAGAAGAAGCAGAGGAGCAAGAAATTGAAGAAAATAATCCAGCAATTGATAATTTGGAAGGAGAGGGGAATACTGAGTATCAAGATCCAGAAAACGAGATAGAAAATAATCAAGAACAAGAATCAGCGGAAGAATTACCACCGGAAAATTTTGCAGATATGGAGAAGGTAAAGTGTGAAGAAAATGTACTCACCTCACCGGAAAATGAACATAATCCTGAAGAAGAACCAGACCCAGAAGCAGAACTGGAAAATGTTAGAGAAGGCACCGAGGAGACAACATCAAACGAACAAGAATGCACAGAAAAAGAAGAACAAGGAGCAGAAAGTCAGGCTATTGCAGAGGAAACAGAGGAAGGAGAAACAGAACGGAAGTCCGACCCAGGTTATCAGGACACCGAGGAAGCCGCCGGAATTGGGTCAAACGAGAAGGAGAGTCAACAAGATTTACTGCCGGATTGCTTGCTTCTGATGATGTGCGAGCCGAAGTTGTCCATGGAGGTATCCAAGGAGACATGGGTTTGCAGTACAGACTTCATCAGATGGTTGCCGGAGAGGCCACCGGCAGTCAAGAAGAAAAAGGACGGCGGTGGAGATGAACCCAAGAGGAGGATTAGCATTGACTCCAAACCCTCTCCGAAGTTACTCCAGCCACCGAGATCCTCTTGCTCTTACCCGGCAGCCCCACCCATGGCTGTTGCGGCTTCGTCCGGCCGGTCGTCAACGTCTTCAACGAGAAAGCAGAAGCTCGCCGGGGATAAAGGGTGCGAACCCTTTGTGCTAACGCGCTGCAAGTCTGAGCCGATGAGGTCAGCCACTAACCTCGCCCCCGATGCTTGCCTCTGGAAGAATGGGAAGCTTGAGCCGGCTACACTAGGAGTCGGCGCGGCTGGGGTTGGCTTTTAACCCCAGTTCAGGCCAGCGAAAAAACCAAAAGCATTGGGGTGGGTGAAAATACAGTGTTGTAAGTTGTAGTTTTGTTTTTGTGCTTGTATAAAAACATCTCCTATTTCTGCTTGTGCCTTTGTTACCCTTATTCATTTTCATCCCTGTACTAGTACTAGTATTAGAAACAGTAAAATGGTAGAAAATTTATTTTATTATTATTTTTGTTCTTCCAAGTACAAGTAAAATTTTTATATTAATATTAATAATGATATGTTAATATTATAGGTAGAATATTATATAATATTATAAATTTAAAATTATAATTTATTATTAAATAAATATGTTGTGTTATTTAATAAGTGAATATATATATAATATTATAAATAAATTTTTAAATAAAAAATATTAATTATATAATAACATATTAGAAAATTTATAATATTATGTAATAATATCATTTCTCTACCATTTATAATTGAAAATAATATTGTTAGTTTGTTTTGTACTTTAACATATCAGTATTTAACACAATTAAATTAATAAATTTTCATGCAATTCTTACCCAAAAAATAATTTCATGCAATCTTTTTATTTTATTTTCTTCAATCTTAAACTCATTTTAAAGTCAAGGTAGACAATAAAAAATATTTTTAATAACAAATTAATTAATCTTGATTAGTATTTTATACATTTTAATTATTATACTTATGAACAATATTTTTAAATAATGTCAAACACTAATATAATTTTTAGGATGATACTTCCTCCATTCATTTTTAATAATTTTAGTTTAATTTTTAAAATTTTAAAATATAAAACTTAAATGAAAATTTAATCATCTATATAAATAATTAAATTCTTTTCTATGTATTTTTTGTTGAATATTTTTATTTAATAAAAAATTTTTAATTATTATTTATATAATATGTTAAATTTTTATTTAAAATTTACATTTAAAAAATAAAAAAATAAAATTAGAGTTACTAAAAAAATTAAACAAAGGGAGTAATATATAAAAAAATTAGTACAAAATTGTATAAATTACTTTTCCTTTCAATTTTGGAGTAATTACATTGGAAAATAGTATATCTTTGGATTTTTTACGACCAAATTATTAGGTGGGTGATTGATGATGACATGTAACAAAGTGCATGTTACTACTAGCAAGATTGTTGTGATGGGTGGGACCATGTAAACAAAAGGGTAATGGGATGATCTAATGGCAATCTAACAGCAATGCTTACAAGATGATCCCACTAAGGTCAATTTTACGCCGTTAGATTGGTGCGATGGGTGGGACCATGTAAACAAAAGTTACGACATGATTTTGATGCGGGGGGAATTATTAAAGGTTGATGTTTACTTAAGCTTGTTAGTTGGGAGATCTTGTCATCTCATTGGTGGGGCATGGTTTGATCTAATGGGTTGCCACGTCATTTGATGAATTTAGAAAGAGAAATGATTTTTGTATAATTTTTTTTATTTTTTGTATAATTTGAGTGTTATTAAAGTAATTAATTTTTTAATTTATGTGGGACTTGTGATGTTAAATGTATTCATTCATTTAACAATATGTGAAAGTTGTATAAAAGACGAGATAAAAAAGTTATGTTTATAACACCACTCATTTAGAAAGTAATGGAGAAAATAATTTAAAAATAATTTTTTTATTATTTTTTATATAACTTTATGTATTTTTTTTATTTATTTCAAATTTTTGATATAAAATATATTTATTTATTTATTTATTTATATAATTTATATAAAAATTATATCTATATTAGTATCTTTAATAATTGTTTAAAATATTTATATATGGTCTATGATTGAAATTTGATACTATATGAGTGACATTTAAGGAGAATGCTCTTTTCATGTAGCATCGAATTTAATAGATAAATTCAAAGCACAACAGTTCTTGTTGTCGTAACATACGTACAAAATGAAGTAAAAAATTGAAACCATCCTTAATAATTGTTTGAAATATTTATGTATGGTGTATGATTGAAATTTGATACTTTATGAGTAACATTTAAGGAGAATGCTCTTTTCATGTAACTTCGAATTTAATACATAAGTTCAAAGCACAACAGTTCTTGTTGTCATAATTTAATAGACGTATGAAATGAATTAAAAAATTAAAAGGAAATTATTTTTTATTATATAATTTAAAATTAAAAATTTTATTATTATAAATTATAATCTTAAAAAATATTTTTAATTTTATAATTTAATATAATTTAAAATGTAAAAATATTTATTTAATAAAGTAAAATTTATAATCTTTATATATGGATACAAAGTTGGAATTTTTTTTTTTATGTTAGTTGCATAATGACAGATAACCCTTTCACATCCCTTATCCCACCTCACATGCATATCATGTGACTCAAATTCAAGATTTCTTACTTTTAATGAAAAATTATTATTATTAAATTAGTTAATTCGTTGACAATACAAAGTCAGAATTTAGTTACTTCAAGAACCCACAATTTTAAAAAATTTTAAAATGTTTAATTAGGCACTCAAAATGAGTAGGATAAAATGTATATTTAACTTATATTTTGTCCATAACGTAATTGGAGTTAAACCTCTCAATTTTTATTTTTCTCTAAGATTGGTACTGGTGTTCTATAATTTATTTTATTCCCTTCTCAAGAAAAGAAAAAATTATTTTATTCCTTATTTATAACCGATTATGTCCTTGAACTAATGGAAAGGTGAGGTTTTTTGAAGCCTTTGCAGGGCATGGAAAGCAGGTTTCTCTCCATGTCAATGATGGCAGCCTCTGCATTGAGCATTCAAGTTTCAAGACAACAAAATTAGTGCTCCTCTTTTATTGAAAGAGATTTTCAGCCTTTTTCTTTCCCAGGATACCGTGGATCCCTTTTGAGGTTAAGGACAAGAGACCAAAGATGAGAAAAAAGGAAAAACAAAGGAAAAAGATAAGAAAAGTGAGAGATACACCTTTGCCTCTGCTGCTCTGCTGGATTTTGGCCTTATTACATGTTTGGATTTGTACTAGATACATTTCTTCCTTTTTCTTTTT